TCGGTGCTTAAGTGATTTTTTCAATCCCTGTTTTGACAGCCTTCCAAGGCCGGGCTCTTACACTGGCTCCACACTGTTACTTTTAAGACTTTAAGCACTTTAAATCCTTGTTTTTCCGATCCAGATTTTAACACAGGCCGGGTTGTGGGTCTCTGTAGGCCGCTTTGGAATTTCTACACTTTGCAAAGATTATTTTAGGACTCCTTTAATTGCAGACCAGCAGCGGTCATTCGCCCTTTCTCCCCCGTTGCTTTACCCAAATACACCCCAGATATCAAAAGACAGATTATCCCATTTATTGGGTTTCCTTAGCCCACTTTTTTTCCTCCTTTGAACTCTTATGCTTCCAATTTTACAGTCTTGATGCAATGCCATGTCGAGCCAAACTCAGGCAATAGACCCGCTAACTTTCCTTGACTTTAATGGGCGAGCCCTCGGGGGGGGGGGCGCCGCTTCTATCTGTTTCCACTTTCTCTGTTGGTCAAATTAGACGGTAGCACAGATCCGGGCCACTGGTCCGCTCTGACACAGTCATAAATTCTGGTAACTGGCCCCTGCTGGTTCTGACAGGGTTATTTTGTGAGGTGAAGATGGAGAGGTTGGGACTGTAAAGGGAGCAGAGCTTCCTGAGTTTTCTCAGACTAATGCTGCACTGCAAAAAATATCGCTTTCTTCATGAGGCAGTTGAAAAATGAAAGAATCTACTGATATGGTTAGCTAACTTTAGAGTTTCCCACGACAGGCTCTAGATTCAGATCACTTAAAGCTCATTAGGTTTTAAACATCTCAGACTTACTTTCTATTTCTGCAAACTGATCCCTTTTTTTAATGAAATCGACTGAATCTCCTTTTCTCTACATGCAAGAATCTGTTTTAACGTCTCCTTCAGATTCACACTTTTTGCAGTGTCGAGCGCCTCGTCCATTCCCATGCCTCGTGCCCCCTTCCGTAGGTCCACAGCCAAAGCCCTAAAACCTTTTAAAGCCTCGTATGACTCCGGCGTAAGCTCCTTAATAATTTAATTCTGTTTGGAATCCGGCGTGATTGGAATGGATGGGATTATCACGTTTGGAGACTTTAATTCCGCAGGTCTAACAGAGGTTAGCCGGTGTAACGTGGTCATAAGAGCGAGTGGGCGTGTATGGAAAAAATAATGAAACAGCACGCTGAGGGGGAATTAAAAAGCAGAAATGTCACTCAAAGTTAATAATTACCACAAAGGAGGATTGCCTTTCTCTAATGGACACCGAACGCAGCAGTAAATGTCCATGTCTGGATTGTAGCAGGACTTTATCTGAACGTGACCTCTGCTCCCTCAAAGACAGTGATAGGAGGATTTTTTATTTGAGGCTGTGACCTGGAATAATGGTTATTGTGATGATTGGTCATGTGACCATTTGTATTTCAGAATCAGAATCTGAATCGGGTTTTATTGCCAAGTACACATTCAAGGAATTTGACTTGGTGTATTGGTGCTAAACAATTAACAAGGAAGTAAAGCAGAACTAGCAACAACTTATAGGTATACTTCACCCGTTTGCATTAATCTTTGTATCATTAGAAACCTGTTAGTATTTTTGAATGGTTGTGCATCCCGCCCTCATTTTCCCCTGAGAAGGGAAATCTTTGTATTTCTGAGTCTGAAAAGGAGCTTCCAGTGACGCAAAATGATTTTTGCGTCACTGGAAGCTGTTGCTGTTAGCGGGGTGAAACTACAACGCTAGTTCCTCATATTTTTGACCACTGAAGCTACAGACCAATCACAGATCAGTGGGTGGGAACTCACTCCCAGAATCGAAACTTAACGTCTGTCATATTGCTTGGAAGCTATGCTAACAGGCTCTATGGAGAAAGCTGATAATGGCAAAATATATAATATAATATATAATAAATATAGCGACAGACCGGTCTTGTGTTTTGGCTGCTGCGGCCGCCGAGGGCACCGCTGGCCGCTAGAAGCTATGGGCAAAACGCTCACACCACAACACAGTGAAGTTATTTTCAGTGTGCCACAGAGATTTGATTTATTTCGCTTGATATGATGATGTTTAGTTGATAATGTTTCAGAGTCTAGATGTGTTTTAATTGCTTCATTTATTTCCATCCTGTCGGGTTTAAACTAAAGGATTACTTCCCCTTCTGTGAACTGGATCAACATTTATGTTTGATTCAGCTGAGAGTAGCCCGGTATGTTTTCTGAGGATATTTTCCTCGACAGCATCCAAAAGAAAGATTCTTGCCAAATCTGAATCTGCACAGCAACTGTGAAAGAGAAAAGATAGTACATCATAGAGCAACTTAAGAAAGTAAATGTACCTTGCTTTGGCTGTGAGTTATCATAAAAATGAGGTTTTATTATGAAACAGGACCATAACTCTGATCACAGCCTCCCTCTCTTTCTGTTGGTGGTCTTGGCCTCTCCTGAGCATCAACTTCATCTCATACTTTACCACCTTTTAGCTTTCCTCCTCATGCGTCGCCACTTCTTTTTTCTCTTCCTCCCCTCCTCCTCCTCCTCCTCTTCTCTTCTCCGCTTAAGAGACTCCAGACTCGGCGACCGCAGCAGAAGGCGTCACTCATCTGCTCATGAGAGCAGCCATTGACTTCAGTTTGACTCCTCGGCTCTGAGAGAGGTAGACGGGGTGGAGCCAGCCACTCTGAGAAAAAAATTAAAAAACAACATTTGCCAGCGTCGAGCGAGGCTGCCTGGCTCTATGTTACCATGCAACTGCAAAAAAAAATGCACACACAGGCATAATATTTACACTGTTACAGTATTTTCCGTGTGCACCTCCAGGAGAGAGAGAGTGGTGGAGTGAGGAGGAGGAGGAGGAGATCCTCAACCTACAAATGTATACGTTCTGTGAATGGCTGGCCTCTTACCTAAACGTGTGGGGTTAAACGTTTGTGAAAACACACGGCCCCCCCCCCCGGCACATTTTCCTACACAGGTGATGTTAAGTGTTCCACCCTGAAAAGCCTCTTTGTTGACATCACCCTCTCTCGTCTTTAGCAATTCTGACCTCTTTCAGGGGGTGTTCCCTCCACGCTTGTCTCGCAGCAGTGAGCACAGCGGCGCATGTTTCCACTTAAACAGTCGAGGTCGTTCCTCTTGGCCCGTGGAGACTCTGCCTATCGATGCGTGGCAGCTTCTCTGTTCTCGCCTCATTGTGCAAGGTCTGGCTGCTCGCTTTGAGCTTCTGAATCTGTCAAGTTAGTATCTGTCTGCCGCTGCTGCCATCAGGCTACACCTGGTTTGAATTATTACACAGAATTTACCCTTCCACTCTCCTGGGATTGAGTGCTCTCGACTGCCACAGCCAAAGCAATTTTTAGAGGTGCAAAAAAAAAAAAAAATATGTGAGCCTGCGGAGAGAGCAGACAGACACTTTTCTCGGTGCTCTCTTATGAAAATAATCCCACATGAGATTCTCTTTAGATCAGTTTCAAAGAGTTAAAGTGGTTGTTAAAATATCTGGGACCTGGTGCATTTTTTTTTGACCATATATCTCTGTGACATCGAGCTCAGTGTAGGAGACTAAAATAATATAATATGGGTGTAAATCATTATCAGTAATTACTAACTGATTGTTAAGCAATTGAAAAGACAAGGACCAATAAAACTCAGGAAGGAAATTAGGCCATAGGACAACAGTGAATGTTAATATTCAGCCAATTTCATGCTAAAATTTCTGTTTGGAATTTGAACCTTGTCAAAAAAAAACATTTTAGCTATGAGGTAGTTGAATGACATTATGTTTTCATAGTGTCAACAGAAATACAACAACTAATACAACTTAAAATACAGAAGGTGTAAATGTATCTAGCAGTGAATTCCTGACTCATGCTAATGTTAGCAAGAAGCTTAAATTAGAGCTAATTTCCAGGCTAAAATGTTTGATATCAGCTCCTCTTAGCATTAGCCAATTCCTAGCTAGAATTAGGCCTACTGATAGGCAGGGATTTATGCATCTGCTAGCATTAGTTAACTTCTGATGTATTTTTATCTAGAAGCTGGTTGAATTAACATGTCACTTTTGTCAAAAATGTCAAACATAACAATAAGGAAGGTGTACACTCCTAGCTAACAGTTAAATTCTTCTTGGATTAATTCTTAGAATAATGTTATCTAACAGTAGAAAGTGGATTATCTGATGTACCTGGAAACAAGGCCAGTGTCCCTCTGTTTTTAATTATTCATCATCTATTCTGATGCCTAGAAATGTGTTGAGCAATCCTGCATCTTGTGAAACATTTTCCACGTCTTTTGTTGCTTGACATCTTCTTCACTCTGAAATCATTTCTTAGAAAATATGATCCAAAGTGCACCAGACACCCAATCAAACTGCGCTCCACTCCTGACTCCTTTTCATCTCAGTCTTACTCTGAGCTGTGAGCTCTCAGATCTGCTTTCCATCAAGATATTTAGATCACGCCAAAAGATGTTTTCCTGCTAAACACACCTGTTCTGCATCAACCAGTGTGCAATTAAAAAAATGGGTTAAACCATTTTTTTTATGTTTGTGCAAAAGAGGTTTTTACCTCGGTAAACAGGCGCTGCACACAGCAAGCTGCTCTGTGATGTTTTATACCAAAGGATATCAAAGGATGGAGTCAGGGGGGAGATCTGATGCTGCGAAAGGAGGGCTTTCTCTGGACACAGCGCTCTTACTGTGAATATAGAAAGATCTCTTTCTAGAAAGAGGGACGTCTCATTTTCAGCTTTGGTTTGTGGTACACAGAAAAAGGATTCAATCTGAATCTGAAAAGTGAATTCTAACCTGATTTACAGGACTCCAAAATATCCTTTTGACTATCAGGTTGAAGATAATTCTAGTAGGACTAACCTGTGATCCTGATTTGTTTTTGCACGATACCTTATGTGAAAATGTTTTAAAGTATTACACTAACTCGCTCTTAAAGTCCTTGAAATGGGCTGACCATACAAGTAGATTTAGATTTGCTGTATTCAAACTTTCCTCCTTTCTCTCCCCCCTCAGTTGAGACACCAGCAGTGGAGTCTGGTAATGGAGAGCGCTGTGCGTCAGA